ACCTACAGACCACCTACAGACCACCTAACAACACCACCTACACCTACAGACCACCTAACAACACCACCTACACCTACAGACCACCTAACAACACCACCTACACCTACAGACCACCTAACAGCACCACCTACACCTACAGACCACCTAACAACACCATCTACACCTACAGACCACCTAACAACACCACCTACTCCTACAGACCACCTAACAACACCACCTACACCTACAGACCACCTAACAACACCACCTACACCTACAGACCACCGAACAGCACCACCTACAGACAACCTACAGACCACCTAACAACACCATCTACACCTACAGACCCTCTTACAACACCACCTACACCTACAGACCACCTAACAGCACCACCTACAGACCACCTAACAACACCACCTACACCTACAGACCACCTAACATCACCACCTACACCTACAGACCACCTAAGAACACCACCTACACCTACAGACCACCTACAGACCACCTAACAACAACACCTACACCTACAGACCACCTAACAACACCACCTACACCTACAGACCACCTTACAACACCACCTAATCCTACAGACCACCTAACAGCACCACCTACAGAACACCTACAGACCACCTACAGACCACCTAACAACACCACCTACACCTACAGACCACCTAACAACACCACCTACACCTACAGACCACCTAACAACACCACCCACAACTACAGACCCTCTAACTAACACCACCTACACCTACAGACCACCTAACACACCACCTACACCTACAGACCACCTAACAGCACCACCTACACCTACAGACCACCTAACAACACCACCTACACCTACAGACCACCTAACAACACCACCTACACCTACAGACCACCTAACAACACCACCTACACCTACAGACCACCTAACAACACCACCTACTCCTACAGACCACCTAACAACACCACCTACACCTACAGACCCTCTTACAACACCACCTACACCTACAGACCACCTAACAGCACCACCTACACCTACAGACCACCTAACAACACCACCTACACCTACAGACCACCTAACAACACCACCTACACCTACAGACCACCTAACAACACCACCTACACCTACAGACCACCTAACAACACCACCTACTCCTACAGACCACCTAACAACACCACCTACACCTACAGACCACCTTACAACACCACCTAATCCTACAGACCACCTAACAGCACCACCTACAGACCACCTACAGACCACCTAACAACACCACCTACTCCTACAGACCACCTAACAACACCACCTACACCTACAGACCACCAAACAACACCACCTACACCTACAGACCACCTAACATTGTAGTTTTTTTGACCCTGCTGTGATTTTATGACGACGTTAAAGATCGATGAATTTTCCTCCTCCGATGACCTGAATCTGAGTTTCTGCTGAAGTCTTGAGGACAGTTAACCTGCTCTGATCTTCCCTCTTTAGTCAATGTTAGTAGACTGTCTTCTGTCTGTCTCAGAGACGTTACCGTGGAAACAGATGAACACAGAACACGTGTTTTAGTCGACATCATCCTTCTTCGAACTGAAATAATAATTTCTTCATCTGCGGCGGTTTTGTATCGTTCGTTTCTCGTTTTACAATCGTTGTTGTTGTTTCCGGTGTTGTGCCGAGGATTGCGTCCACCTCGCAGAAACGCTCGCCGCTCACAGTCGAGTGGTCCACAGAATTGAAACCCGTACAGTTCTGATCTGTGGAGATAAACAGAGGAGGAATGTTCACGAAGTCATTCTCAGCCTTTCTCAGAACAACACCGGCAGCGCCAGCGACTTCTCCATGTGCAGGGGCGTGGTTTCCTCCTCTCTGATTTTGATTGACAGCTGACAGGGTAGTCTGATTGGCAGCTGAGTGAAGAACGAATGTGATTGGTGGAGAGTCACATGCAGTGTTTGTCAGTCAGCTACACTTGAAATTAAATGAGTTCATTCTCCAGGATGTGACATGTGATGATCACGCACACGTTCATCGCCATGACGATGATCAAATGATAAATCATGCAGCCCCACAACAAACCCAACAACACCATTACTGCTGACAACACCAACACCTCCACCTCTGACACCAACGTCTCTACACACATCACTGATGGTCACGTCGCCACGACAACCGTCCCGAACACAGTCAACATCAGCAACGCCAGAAAATCGAGAGAGAACTTTCTCTGTTTGTTCTTTTTGTCTCTTCAGTTGGACCGGATCTGCATCAGTCTGGACTGGGACATGACCAGACCCTCCTGTGTTCCTGTCGGTCCTACATCAGTCCACCATGAAGTCAGTAAACCAGCAGGGGGCAGCAGTGAGTTCCCTCTCCCCTCCAGCAGCACCAAGTCCTCCCAGCGGGCCTACCTGCAGAGCCTGGAGCGCAGCAGCAGGGCCTGGGTCCTGTCCTCAGGAAAGACCCAGGCTTCAGACCAGGCCTGTGGTCCTCAGGAGGAGAGCGGGCGCAACATCTGGTACAACCCCATCCCTGAGGAGGAGGACGGGGGCGGGGCCTGCAGAGGAGAAGACAAGGGGGAGGAGATCTGGAGGAGGAGGGAGGAGAGGGAGGAGAGGGGGGAGGGGGCCGTGACAAAGAGGGGAGGAGAGTCCAGATCAGAGGTGGGCGGGGACTGGGCGGGGTCAGCAGAGAAAGATGGTGGTCACTGTCCACCAGAGGGCGCCATTCAAACTGTGAACCACCATATTGATGACATAGAGACGGAGAGCTCAGGTAAGAGCGTGTGACTCCGCCCCCTCAGTCATAGAGCTCAGGTGTGTCACTGATAATTCTCTCTCTCTCTTTAGACCCGCCTCCCTCTGACTCCCATAAGAAAGGGGGCGTGTCCAGCAGTGTGATTGACAGGTTGCGGTCTCCCGGCACAGTGAGGAGACTCTCTCTGAAGATGAAGAAACTTCCGGAGCTGCGGCGTAAACTCAGTCTGCGCTCGTCCTCTCGAGCCCATCGCCAAGGAAACGACGCCAAAGGGGAGGGGGAGGAGTCAACGTGTAAGACCGCATCATCGTCCGCCCTGTCCGATCAGAACGTGATCAGCAGATATCACCTGGATAGCTCCACCCCTCCGGCCAGACCTCTGCGGCGCTCATCCAGGAGACGGTCCAGCAACAAAGGAGGTGATTGGTCGAAGCTGATCAGCTGATCTGACAGGTGAGGACACACCTGACTGTTTATGTTTGTCTTAAAGGTTACCTGAGTGACGGTGATTCTCCTGAGCTGCTGCCACGGCAACAAGCCCCTCCCATCACCTCCCCCCAGGAAACATGTGACGTCAGCTCGTTCCAGATGTACGTGGGCTCAGAACCGCCCCGCTGCAGCCAGAGGGTCACGGGTCTGCTGACGGTCCACCTGCTGGGACTGGAGGAGATGAAGACCTGCAGGTACGACCAGCAGGACCACCTGGACCACTGAGACCGGGTCAGAACCGGGTCTCACCTGGGAGGGTTAACGTGTTAATTTACACCGAATTCTTTCTCCAACGCCGTTTATAGTCGGACTAAGGTGGTCACATGACCTTCAGTTCTCCAGTCTTTATCGGAATAAGGCGATAATTTGGTTTAAAATCATCTGAAAACCATAAAAATCTGTTTTATTTCCGATCATTTTAACCCTTTAACCTCAGTACGTGGATTTAATTTTACACTGAGTCTCAGATTCGTTCTGACCCGTCCAATCACAGTCTTACCGTCAATTTCCATGGTTACTAAAAGGTCGTATCCTCCGATCGTAGCTGATCGTAACCATTCAAGTTAACGTGTCAAGTTCTACTTTTTCTGGACGCCGGAGCATGGCGGATAAATTCAGCACAGATTAACCCGTGCTGGAAAGGAAGTCGGGCACAGACTTCAAAATAAAACATCCGGCTTCTTTTCAAAATAAAACACTCCGTGTTTCAGGAGGATCGTATTTCACACCATGCAAACGGGCGGAGACGAACAAGTGAAAGGTTTTTAGACGTCATTTCACCCCGATGACACCATGGATGAGGAGATGCTGATTCTAGAAGTCTAGAAGTAGATTTCCTCCTCTGGAAGGACACAATCTACTGCTTATATGTCTATGTGTCTGTCTTTAGAGAGACAACTCGTTATCGTGAGATTGAACGTGAATCTGCGGGTTCTTGAAAGTTCTCGTCATTCCTGCTGTCTGTAATCCACCACGAAATTCGCCTCACAAACGGATCCAGTAGGAATTGGCAGACGGTGAAAATCACCGCCATTTTGGATGCGGTGGAAATTGGGGGTTAGCGTGGATGCTGATTGGCTGTAAACAGGAGATCGTTTAACTTTAACGAGACTTTATCAATACAGAGGCTAAAAACACCCGTGTGAGGTCGAAGACTAAGACTGTCTTTGTCTCTGTCCCTGTCCCTGTCTCTGTCTCTGTCCCTGTCCCTGTCTGTCCCTGTCTGTCTCAGGTCAGAGGTCAGTAAGGACATCTTTCTAGCCATTCAGATTGATGGAGTGACGAGAGCGAGGACCGCCCTCCTGCCACTGCGAAGCCCCACCCTCTCATTAAACCACGCCTTCAACTTGGAGCTGGAGAGAGCCCGGCAGCTTCGCATCGTGGTGCTAACTCCAGGTACTGACAACATGTCCACCAGGAACTAATGCCAGCAACACCAGGAACTCAGAGGTCTCCAAACCTGAACAGGAACTAGTATTTACCAAGAATGTGACCTTAACAGAACCAGGAACTAAAGCTGAACGGGTTCAGTACCAGAACTAAAACACAAAGATCTGATGTCAACGACAGCAGGAACTATGAGGACACCTGAACATGATACCAGTCCTCACACCTGAAAAAGGATCTTGTTCTTTAATCCTGGCAGTACTTCTGTTTGTCTTACTTTGAGTACTTTCACTGTACCAGACTGAAGGTAGTACTGATACTCAGAAAGTACTGCATTTATGAGCAGGTCCTGGTTAGTTCTGGTTAGTCCTAGTTAATCCTGGTTAGTCCTGGTTAGTCCTGGTTAGGGTTAGTTCTGGTTAGTTCTGGTTAGTCCTGGTTAGTTCTGGTTAGTCCTGGTTAGTTCTGGTTAGTCCTAGTTAGTCCTGGTTAGTTCTGGTTAGTCCTAGTTAGTCCTGGTTAGTTCTGGTTAGTCCTGGTTAGTCCTGGTTAGTCCTGGTTAGTCCTGGTTAGTTCTGGTAAGTTCTGGTTAGTCCTAGTTAGTTCTGGTTAGTCCTAGTTAGTCCTGGTTAGTCCTGGTTAGTTCTGGTTAGTCCTAGTTAGTCCTGGTTAGTCCTGTTAGTCCTAGTTAGTCCTGGTTAGTCCTGGTTAGTTCTGGTTAGTCCTGGTTAGTTCTGGTTAGTCCTGGTTTGGTATCCGAAGTTAAATGTTTTCTGTCCTGATCGGAGAAAGACGATGTAAACTGAGATCGTAGTTTAAGGACGAGGTTTACTAAAGTCTTACCCCAGAATTAAAGGTTCTCCTTCTGATTCATGACGTGTCCGGTTTGACGTGTCTCCGCAGTGTCTCCTCAGACTGTAGGGGGCGCCAAACCAGGAGCAGACCAGACCTCAGGGGGTCAGTGCAGGAACAGAGTCTGTGGTCTGGGAGGAGTCTCCATCCCGCCCCTCTTCAAAGGTCAAAACTCCGTCTTCATGAGTTTATAGAAAGACATGATGGTGTCCCAGGAGACGCCACATCTACCAACATACATCTACGTTTGAGTATCCTAAATGTGATAATGACAGTAATCAATAATCAATCATAACCATAATCAATAATAACATTAATTCAATAATCGATAATAACAATAATCAATAATAACAATAATCAATAATAACAATAATCAATAATAACAATAATTCAATAATAACATTAATTCAATAATCAATAATATCAATAATCAATAATAACATTAATCAATAATCAATAATAACAATAATCAATAATAACATCAATTCAATAATCAATAATATCAATAATCAATAATAACATTAATCAATAATCAATAATAACATTGATCTGCTCTTTCAGGAAGTCGTTGTCAGCAGCTCTGCGTGAAGTTGGAGCCCAGAGGACTTCTGTACTTCAAACTGTCTCTGCAGGAGAAGTGGGACACACAGGTAGACCCCAAAACCGTCTCCACCACGTGGTCTGGTTTAGTCCAGGTTTAGTCCAGGTTTAGTCCAGGTTGGTCCAGGTTGGTCCAGACCTGACGGTCCCACCACGAACACAGACCACCTGCTGAGATCTGGGAAATGTCCCGGAATACGGACTGTACAGAACCGAACCAAACTGGACCACATGGTGGAACCACAGCTGAGTCCATCTACGCCCACATATAGTCCTGACTGACCCGTTTAAACCGGGACAGCATGAACCAGTTCTACCCTTCAATCTGGGAGACGCCATTTTGTAACATTCTGTAGTTTTTCAATCATTTAAAAAACTACAAACATGGCCGCCTGCCTCTGATCGGCTGATAAAGTCTGATAAAGAGATCGGATTCATGCTCGGATCTTCGGGTCCTTCTCAGGGTTCAGAGTCTCAGACCGGGTTCAGGTCTTCATGGGTTCATCTGGTGAAGAACCCGATCAGAACTTCAGAAGTTCATGCCGACAGGTCTCCAGAACGTCTCTGTGTCTCTCCACAGCCCAGCAGCGACTCCTCAGGTCCTGCTAATGTCTTTGGGGTGGAACTGCACCACCTGGTGGAGAAAGAAAGGTCTGCACGTCCCGTCCCTCTACTGATCCAGAAGACGGTGGCCGAGATCGAGCGAAGAGGACTGAAGGTAAACCCAGAGGGACAGGAAGTCAAACTGTCCTCAGCTTTTATTTTGAAAGGCATGATCTGATCTCAGAGACTCAGGAGGACACCAAAGACCGTTTTATGAAGAGTCTGTCCAGGAGACTAAAAACATCCTTTAAATGTGTCCATGAGGATCAGAGACACAAACTAACCCTGAGACTGTTGATGTCTCTGTCCTCTGTCTGTCTCTGTCTCTCTGTCTCTGTCTCTTTGTCTCTGTCTCTGTCCTCTGTCTGTCTCTGTCTCTTTGTCTCTGTCTCCGTCCTCTGTCTGTCTCTGTCCTCTGTCTGTCTCTGTCTCTTTGTCTCTGTCCTCTGTCTCTTTGTCTCTGTCTCCGTCCTCTGTCTGTCTCTGTCCTCTGTCTGTCTCTGTCTCTTTGTCTCTGTCTTCGTCCTCTGTCTGTCTCTGTCTCTGTCCCTGTCTCTTTGTCTTTGTCTTTGTCTCTGTCTCTGTCCTCTGTCTGTCCCTCAGGTGGTCGGTCTGTACAGACTGTGTGGATCAGCGGCGGTGAAGAAGGAGCTCAGGGACTGGTTTGAGAGGGACAGTTCAGTCGTGTCCCTCAGTGAGGACCTTTACCCGGACATCAACGTCATCACAGGTCAGTGAGACTCACCTGGAGACACCTGGAGTCTGTAGACCTGTCCCACAACCTCAGGTCTGTTCAAGGTGACCCCTCACCTGTTCAGACTCTGCAGGTAGAATCCAGTCTGTTCACAGTCCTCCACCTCAGACCTGTCCTCCACCTTCGACCTGTCCTCCACCTCAGACCTGTCCCCCACCTTCGACCTGTCCTCCACCTCAGACCTGTCCTCCACCTCTGACCAATCCTCCACCTCAGACATGTCCTCCACCTCTGACCTGTCCTCCACCTCAGACCTGTCCTCCACCTTTAACATGTCCTCCACCTCAGACCTGTCCTCCACCTCAGACCTGTCCCCCACCTCAGACCTGTCCCCCACCTTTGACCTGTCCTCCACCTTTAAGATGTCCTCCACCTCAGACCTGTCCCCCACCTCAGACCTGTCCCCTACCTCAGACCTGTCCTCCACCTCAGACCTGTCCTCCACCTCAGACCTGTCCTCCACCTTTGACCTGTCTTCCACCTCAGACCTGTCCTCCACCTCAGACCTGTCCTCCACCTTTAACATGTCCTCCACCTTTGACCTGTCCTCCACCTCAGACCTGTCCCCCACCTTTGACCTGTCCTCCACCTTTAACATGTCCTCCACCTCAGACCTGTCCTCCACCTTTGACCTGTCCTCCACCTTTAACATGTCCTCCACCTCAGACCTGTCCCCCACCTTTGACCTGTCCTCCACCTCAGACCTGTCCTCCACCTTTGACCTGTCCTCCACCTTTAACATGTCCTCCACCTCAGACCTGTCCCCCACCTCAGACCTGTCCTCCACCTCAGACCTGTCCTCCACCTCAGACCTGTCCTCCACCTTTAACATGTCCTCCACTTCAGACCTGTCCTCCACCTCAGACCTGTCCTCCACCTTTAACATGTCCTCCACCTTTGACCTGTCCTCCACCTCAGACCTGTCCCCCACCTTTGACCTGTCCTCCACCTTTAACATGTCCTCCACCTCAGACCTGTCCTCCACCTTTGACCTGTCCTCCACCTTTAACATGTCCTCCACATCAGACCTGTCCTCCACCTTTGACCTGTCCTCCACCTTTAACATGTCCTCCACCTCAGACCTGTCCTCCACCTCAGACCTGTCCTCCACCTTTAACATGTCCTCCACCTCAGACCTGTCCTCCACCTTTGACCTGTCCCCCACCTCAGACCTGTCCTCCACCTTTGACCTGTCCTCCACCTCAGACCTGTCCCCCACCTCAGACCTGTCCTCCACCTCTGTGTGTCTCTCAGGGATCCTGAAGGACTACCTGAGGGAGCTGCCGTCTCAGCTGATCACGCAGACCCTGTACCAGGTGGTCAGAGACGCCATGATGTTAAAACCTCCACCCCCACCACCTGTGACCCCTGACCCCCAACTGGCCCTCAGAACGGTGGAGCTGCTGTCCTGTCTGCCGCCGCCAGAGAGGGTAACGCAAAAACGACTACGTCAGAAAACTACATCAGTACTACATGAGTCATATATGACCAGTGTACTAATACTACATCAGAACTACATCAGTACTACGTCAGAACTACATCAGAACTACATCAGTACTACGTCAGAACTACATCAGAACTACATCAGAACTACGTCAGTACTACATCAGTACTACATGAGTCATATATGACCAGTGTACTAATACTACATCTCTACTACATCAGAACTACATCAGTACTACATCAGTACTACATCAGTACTACGTCAGAACTACATCACAAACATCAGTACTACATCAGAACTACATCAGAACTACATCAGTACTACATCAGTACTACGTCAGAACTACATCACAAACATCAGTACTACATCAGAACTACATCAGTACTACATCAGAACTACATCACAAACATCAGTACTACATCAGAACTACATCAGTACTACATCAGAACTACATCACAAACATCAGTACTACATCAGTACTACATCAGAACTACATCACAAACATCAGTACTACATCAGAACTACATCAGTACTACATCAGAACTACATCAGAACTACATCACAAACATCAGTACTACATCAGAACTACATGAGTACTACATCAGAACTACATCAGAACTACATCACAAACATCAGTACTACATCAGAACTACATCAGAACTACATCAGTACTACATCAGTACTACATCAGAACTACATCACAAACATCAGAACTACATCAGAACTACATCAGTACTACATCAGAACTACATCAGAACTACATCAGTACTACATCAGTACTACATCAGAACTACATCACAAACATCAGAACTACATCAGAACTACATCAGAACTACGTCAGTACTACATCAGTACTACATGAGTCATATATGACCAGTGTACTAATACTACATCTCTACTACATCAGAACTACATCAGTACTACATCAGTACTACATCAGTACTACGTCAGAACTACATCACAAACATCAGTACTACATCAGAACTACATCAGAACTACATCAGTACTACATCAGTACTACGTCAGAACTACATCACAAACATCAGTACTACATCAGTACTACATCAGAACTACATCACAAACATCAGTACTACATCAGAACTACATCAGTACTACATCAGAACTACATCACAAACATCAGTACTACATCAGTACTACATCAGAACTACATCACAAACATCAGTACTACATCAGAACTACATCAGTACTACATCAGAACTACATCAGAACTACATCACAAACATCAGTACTACATCAGAACTACATGAGTACTACATCAGAACTACATCAGAACTACATCACAAACATCAGTACTACATCAGAACTACATCAGAACTACATCAGTACTACATCAGTACTACATCAGAACTACATCACAAACATCAGAACTACATCAGAACTACATCAGTACTACATCAGAACTACATCAGAACTACATCAGTACTACATCAGTACTACATCAGAACTACATCACAAACATCAGAACTACATCAGAACTACATCAGTACTACATCAGAACTACATCAGAACTACGTCAGTACTACATCAGTACTACATGAGTCATATATGACCAGTGAACTAATACTACATCTCTACTACATCAGAACTACATCAGAACTACATCAGTACTACATCAGTACTACATCAGTACTACATCAGAACTACATCAGTACTACATCAGAACTACATCAGTACTACATCAGAACTACATCAGAACTACATCAGTACTACATCAGAACTACATCAGTACTACATCAGAACTACATCAGAACTACATCAGTACTACATCACAAACATCAGAACTACTCCTGTCTAACTGATCACAGACTGCAGTACTACGATGAAACAAAAACCTTGACTCGGCGTGTTCGTTCAGGCGAGTCAAGTTCAGCTCAGATCAGCTGATGACCTCCTGACCTCTTCAGCTGTTTAAACACTTCCTGCTTCTTCTGTAACCTTGGTAACCCTCCTCCACCTTAGCTCCTCCCTCTTTTTTTACCCTGTGTCTGATCTCCTCAGTGTCTTTGTATGTGACCATGTGACTTTTGTAGGACGGGTTCAAAGGTCAAAGTTAACGCCCACGGTGTCTCTGCAGGCCACTCTGTCCCTCCTGTTGGACCACCTCAGTCTGGTGGCGTCCTTCAGTTCCTACAACAGGATGACCCACCAGAACCTGGCGGTCTGTTTCGGCCCGGTTCTCCTCACGCCGACCCAGGAGGCCTGGAGGGCGGGGGGAGGAGGGGGAGGAGGGAGGGGAGGAAGAGGCGGGGTCAAGGGTCCATGTGAGGAGATCGCCAGTGCGGTGGACTTCAAACGTCACATTGAGGCGCTGCACTACCTGCTGCAGCTTTGGCCAGGTGAGTCAGAAGGTCAGGAGGTTAAAGGTCAGCCTCCTGAGGCTCCGCCCACGTTGTCACGGTCACACCTGTACCTCGTTTCCTGTCCTCAGTGCCCACAGATCGAGTCCCAGCAGGTGAACACTTTGACACCTCCCCGCCGGCCTCCCCCGCTCTTACCCATCATCCCCCACGGCGTCCTGCGCTGCGATTGGCTCTTCCCCAGAGCCCTGAGGAGGAGGTGGTGGTGTCACGGCGGGGTAGAGGCGGTCTGTCACGGCTGGAAAGTCCACCGCCGATAAACCGTTACGCCGGAGACTGGAGCGTCTGTGGACGAGACCTGCTGTCGAGACACGAGGCCGACTACGACGAGGTGGCAGGAAGTGACAGCGAAGGAGGTAAAGTGAAGCCCCGCCCTCATAAAAGATGGCAGACCCGACCCGAACGGACCAAACCAAGTCTCTGTGTTCAGGATGACGGTCAGCTGACGGAGGCTAGAGGGTGGAGCTAACTCTGATCTATTTTTGTTTTCAGGCAGCGGCGAGGAGGAGGACGAGGAGAAGAAGGGGGTGTGGTCAGGAGGAGCAGCAGGCGGTCTGTACGTGGACGACTTCCTGGACTTTGACGCTCCGTTTAACTGTCGGCTCAGCCTGAAGGACTTCGACACGCTGATCCACGACCTGGACCGCGAACTCGCCAAACACATCAACATCTGTCTGTAGGGGGGCGGGGTCTAAACGCGGTCTCTTCAGATCTCAGAACTTTAGATCTAACCCCGATTTCCACCGCATCCAGAACGTCTACTAAAACCCTAACTAAGGTCAGCACAGATGAACCCGTGCTGGAGAGGAAGTCGGGCACAGACTTCAAAATAAAACATCCTGCTTCTTTTCAAAATAAAACACTCCGTGTTTCAGGAGGATCGTATTTCACACCATGCAAACGGGCGGAGACGAACAAGTGAAAGGTTTTTAGACGTCATTTCACCCCGATGACACCATGGATGAGGAGATGCTGATTCTAGAAGTCTAGAAGTAGATTTCCTCCTCTGGAAGGACACAATCTACTGCTTATATGTCTATGTGTCTGTCTTTAGAGAGACAACTCGTTATCGTGAGATTGAACGTGAATCTGCGGTTCTTGTGAGTTCTCAGATTACCGATGTCCGTAATCCGCCGCATAATTCGCCTCACAAAGGAATTGGCGTACGGCGAAAGTTGCTGCCATTCCGGGTCGGCGCTGTTCTGGATGCGGTGAAAATCCCGGGTTAGTTGGTGGTTCTGATGATGTAGTCTGATCCGGACGGTTCTGTTCGAGGACTCCGGTCTGTGCCAAAAACAAAAACACCTTTAAGTTATTCTGACGATCCAAAGATGAAGTCCGACCCGGTTCTGTTCGGTTCTGTTTGATTAATGAGGACTTTTGTTCTGGTGCTGAGAGAACTGAGGCTCTGTTCGTGTTCTCGGTATCAGGGTGGGTCCTGGAGGTCCTGGAGGGTCCTGGAGGTCCTGGAGGTCCTGTTTGCACTGTTGAAGCCATAATGTGTTAAATTTAAAAAAACGACCTGAAGACGTCTGCTCTCAAAGATCAGTTCATATTTATTTCTTCTTTCTTTTCTGAGCTCCTGAAGGTCACCTGAAGGTCACCTGAAGGTCACCTGAAGGTCACCTGAAGGTCACAGCTGGAGCAGTTTTTCTGTTTAAATGTGAAGGTCATGTGAAGGACGATCTCCGGGGAGGAGAGGGGCTGAAGACTCCTCCCTCCATCAGGGTCAGAGATGTTTCCAAAGAGCTGAAGAAGAGAAACGCTCAGATCAGAGGTCAAAGGTCACAGAGTGAGGGAGGTGTCATGTGACCTCAGCAGAGTCTGACATCACAGTGACGTAAAACGAATCACTGAGAGATGCTGAGATGGCGTCCAAGGATCACGCCATCCTCTGTGTCGGTGTTCGGCTTCAGTTTGGCGTCAAATATGGACGAACGTTCCGTCTTTGTGAGTCAAAGGTCACCGCTTTCTCTCTGTGGCGCCCCCTGCAGGTGTTGTTCAGTAGCAGCTCTCAGTCTTCAGTATTTTGACGGTACAGAGTTTCTGTCCAGAGTTTGACGGACAGTTTGTCCTCAGAGACAGTTTGTCCTCAGAGACAGTTTGTCTGTTTTGTGTTGTTGTTGTTTTTTTTGTTGACAGTATTATTCTGATTATTTTGTTTTGCACACCTTCAGGAGCACTTGTGTGTATTTGTGTGTATTTGTGTTTGTGTGTTGTTGTGTATTTGTGTATTTGACTGGTGATGATGCTGTTTCCATGGAGACCACCGTTAACCAAAGTGATGAAGCACACTTTTATTTTTAATGTCTTATTAATCTGACCAAATATTAAACACTTGTTCTTTATTATTGTTGTTTTGAATAATAACTTTATTGATACGACATCTTTAACAACAGAAGTTTGATTCATTAATTCATTAGTTAGTTAATTAGTTAGTGAAGCGATCAGCTGATTTTCTCTGATTCTGGTCCTCCGGGTCAGAACCAGAGGGACAGACCTGGTCCAGAGAGACTCTGGGGTCACCAGAGTTCATGTGTCTCTGCAGCCTTAAAAGGACTGAAGGTTCGACTGAGTCTGTGGGCCCTCAGTGTTGACTGACAGGCAGTCCTGACCACAGCCTGTGTCATACACAGTCGTAGGCCCAATCCCAAACCGCCCCCTAAACACTCGCCCTCCCTCCGTTTGAGCGGGGGGTGAGTGGATCGTTCAGCCCTCTAATAGCGAGTCTGCACCGATGGTCACTCACAGCGGGGTTTTCAGGAAGAGCGCCGACAAATAATCATTTATTATTTATAAAATAATCAAATTAGAAAATCTTTGACAGAAATCAGAGGTTTTCTAACAGACCTGACCTCACACAGACAGACCTGTCCTTACAGTCTAAGATCAGGGTTCAGACTGTCACAGGAGGTCCTGACTCTGGTTTATCTGGTTTATCATGAGTAAAAGTTTAATTTCTTTATTTTCACATGAATCTCTTCAAACTTTCATATTTTTATTGATTTATTCCAATAATAATATTCTGTCCTCATCTTTAAACCTCTCCTGTCAGTCAGCGCTCAGGGATCAATCTCCTCCTCCTCCGCTGTTGCACAGGCTCCGCCCCATTGATTACGTGACCGTTGGAACGCGCTTTTTTTTGGGGCTTCATTCTGATTGGCTGAGAGCCTGAGCAGCTGACTGTCCGGGGCGCTGATTGGCTGAAACACACACCCCTTCTCTCTTTTTGTCGGGGGCGTGTCTGGGCGCGTTCACGGGCTGCCGCTCTTCCTGATGAGGAAAATGGTTGAAAAATAATAAGAGGAAAAACTAAAGGAGAAGAAAAAGAAGAAAAGGAAGAAGAAAGAGAAGAAGAAGAGTGAGAGAGTGAGCCTGGAGGAGGAGAGAGAGAGAGAGAGAGAGAGGAAGAGTTTGTTCATGAAGTCATCAGGTGAGAGAGAAATCAAACTGCGCCACAACTGATTCAGCTGGACGACAGACACACACACACACACACACACACACCTCTCTCTGTCTGTGTCTCTGTCTGTGTCTCTGTCTGTGTCTGTGTCTGAGCTGGTCCTCCAGGTGTGTTCCGCTCTGTTCTTTCCTGAGTTCTCAGTTTGTTTAAATTCAGTCCCTGAGGTCAGACTGACTCACAGATCCATCATCAGTCTGTAAAACAGTTTTAATAATAAACAGCTATTTATTATTATTATTATTATTATTATTATTATTGTTGTTGTTGTTGTTGTGATAATAATAATTTATTATTATTATTATTGTCACATTGATATATTGAACCTCCTGATGTAAACAGACTGAAGCTCAGGGTTTATATTTATTTATCTGTATTTTCTCCTGTTAATCCTGAACTCTGACAACAACATTAAATACACAAACAGAGAGGAGGAGTGTGTGTGTGTGTGTGTGTGTGTGTGTGTGTGTTCACTCAGAAACATGTAATTCAAGAGAATCAGAAACTGTAGAAATACAGACAGAGACACGAGTTTCTGACTCTGAACTGAAGAGAGAGTCAGGAGGAGGTACAGGTGTTACAGATTTTTATTATTATTGTTATTATTATTATCAATGTTATTATTATTATCTATCATCATTTATTATTATTATGATAATTTACATTTTTATTCTTAATCTTGTTTTATTATTTGTCATTATTATTGTTTATTATTATTTATTTTTTTGTTATTTTTATTTATTATTATTATTGTTATTAATATTATTAATCAACATAGTGTTATTATTTTATTGATCATTATTATTAATATGATTTATTATTCATATTGTTAATTATCTCTGATTGACAGCTGTAAACACCAATCACAGAGTGACTCAGATCATTGTTATCAGTCTCGTTCTCCGTCAGCTCTCCCGTCATTACATCATTTCCTGTTCCTGTCTGTCCCAGTGTCCTCCTCATGTTGAACCCTCGCCCCGGGGGGCCGTCTCCCATCATGCCTGTCGACGTGGCGATGAGGATCTGCCTCGCCAGCTCTCCTCCTCTGCACACATTGCTCAGTAACTATGACAACGCCCTGCTGCGGCAATCTGAGCCGCTACGACCGTGTCTGTCCTCCGGTCGCTGTAACGACACCTTCAGAAACAACGTCACCACGGCAACCACACCCTCTATGGCCATAAACGCAGATGAGGACAGCAGCGCGGCGTGGGCGAGGAAGAAGACGAAAAAGAACGTGGTGTTTGCAGACTCTCGCGGCCTCGCACTCACCGCCGTCTACGTCTTCAACGAGTCCGAGGACGACCTGCTGACTGACCTGCAGTTCCACCTGAGTGAGATAGAGGACGCCGCCGCCAGACTTCACCTGGGAGACGACTCAGGTAATCCAACAACAAAACGAAAATTAGAGATTAAATCTGAGTTTCCACCAAACTGATCAATCATTCAATATCAATATCATCTGTATTGGTAATTTATATAATCCATGTTAACAATCTGATTTAATCTTCAACCATAATCTGTAATAAATGAATATAATTTATAACCTCTTTGATCATAATCTAATGTAATCTGATATTTCACTGTCATAATCTGACACAAACTCATCAACCCTTCAATCCTAATGCATTAGATTTAATCCAGAATAAATCTATAATCATAATCTGAATTAATCTGAAATCATAATGACATGATAGAGGAGAATATCCACCATATAATCCTATTTCATTTTAATCTGTAATCTGAGACAGTCTTCTGTAATCTGATATCGCTCAATCCTACATCAACAGAATCAAACTGTTATTATTATTAATATTTATGTTATGACTTTAGAGTTTTAATAATCTGATCTAATCATTATCTATCATTTATAATCTGTAATCAAAAATCTATTATCTATCACCAATAATCTATAATCAATAATCTATAATCAATAATCTATAATCAATAATCTATAATCAATAATCTATAATCCAATAATCTATAATCGATCCTTAGACCGGTTTTTGCTCTGTCCCCTCTTCAGGGCCCTCAGATCCAGGTTCTGTTCTGGTTCTGGACTTCACTCAGCCGGACTATCTGGACCTGAGGACCCGCCTGAAGACCCAGCAAGTCTGTCTGGAGACCTGTTCGGTCCAGGACCGCCTCCTCTCAGGGACGGTCCAGGTCCAGAACCTCTGCTTCCACAAGTCTGTTTGGATCCGGATCACCTTTGACTCGTGGCGGTCCTTCCAGGACCTACCGTGTCGGTACCTGAACACGGTCTATGCTGGTCCTGATACCGACACCTTCTCCTTCTCAGTCCTGGTCCCAGAGTCCATCCAGACCTCCAACAGGGTCGAGTTCTGCATCCAGTTCCAGACTCCAGACCGGACCTTCTGGGACAACAACCAGGGGAACAACTACCGGCTGGTCCTGCTGGACCCGAACTCGGGGACCCGGGGAACGGGACTGGAGATCCAGGGGGACCAGAAGAAAGAGGGTCTGGACTTTGACCCGTTTGGAAGTCCCAGAACCTCAGCGGGGGTCTTTCCTGAGTGGCAGAGCTGGGTCCGAGTTGAGACCAGAACCCCCTACTGGTGAGACCAGCATGGACCAGAGACTCAGTCCCCCCCCCCCACAAAGTGTCCTCCAGAGTTCTCCTGAACCCCCCAGACCCTAACACCAAAGTCCAAAGACCAGAATCCCCCAGAGTCCTGTACACTGGTCCTGATTCTGGTTCTGAGCCCAGACCTGATTCTAACCCCCCGAGTCTGGACTCAGCTGGACCCCAGGAGGGTCTGAGGGTCCGCTTTAAAAACCGCTGAGTTTGCACTTTTCAGATATGCAAGAAGAACCTGAACCGGGTCCTCATGGATCTGGACCAGAACTCACCTCACTGACAAAGAACTGGTCTTTCAGGACCCCCCAAAGACCCCTCAGTGAGTCCAGACTCGGCACAGGTCTGGTCCTGATCCAAGTTCTCAAACACCAGCATGAAGATCCTGAAACCGGGTCAGCGATCCAGAACCAGGGATCTGGTTTAAAACCCCATCCCCCAGACTCTGGGTTCAGGTCCAACCTCAGTCCTAGTCCATGTTCATTGCCTTTAGGGGTCCTTAAAGTCCTGATCTGATCCCAGAACCCTGTTGGATCTTTAGCAGACCCAGATCCAGATGTCTAGTCTTCCTGCACCTTAAAGTGGACCCCCAGGGACCAGGATCTCAGTCCTGATACCAGAGAGGTCTTTGGTTCCTTTTTGGGTCCAAACGTTTGCACCTTAAACTCGAACCCGAGTCTAAACCAGAGGCCCGGTCTACAGACCCGGTCTGCACTTAAGTCTGGAGACGTCCTCCTGTGGTCCCAGGTGGACCCTCTCAGACCTCTTCATGTCCCTCTTTAGTCTTGATCTTGAAGTTTTTACCAGGACCAACACCAGAAGACCAAAGTCCAGACCGTCTTCCTCCAAAGTCTGGACCGTCTGTAGACCTGCTGGAGGTCTCTGGATCTCTGGAGCTCCAGGTCTCGGTCCCTCAGGCATTAAGACCTCTTCCTGTGTCCTTGTGGTTTTGGTTCCAGCTGTGGGTCCTGGACCTGACCCGTTGGTTGTTTGTAGTTCTGTCTGACTCCTCCCCTTCTTGATGATCTCCTCTCTGATTGGTCCACATGGTCTCAGCTAAGATTGATGCGCTCTGATTGGCTCTTCATGTTTGTTTTCATCTGTTGCCATGGTAACGGGTATTCCAAACGTATCTATGCAGTCCCTAACCCTAGCCTTGTTGTCATGGTAACTGCTGTGGGGCTGTAGGCGGACCAGTCCTGAGTGGCCCCGCCCTTTTTCAGCTATTTATCCCATTAACTTTTTTACCTGACGCCCATAGCTCCACCCACCAAAACTAAGCTCCACCCATCACCAGCCACCTTTAAGCCCCGCCCACTCCACCCGACTGCCTTGTTTTTGGAATCACAGCTGCAGTGCATTATGGGTACCTGCAGGTGGTGTGTATCTGTTTGTTCTCACCTGTCGTGTTTGACCCTTGACCTACACTCACTGTCTCACTTCCTGTCTCACTTCCTGTTTGCCCTTTCAAATTAAGAGCTTTTTTTAGCTGAGAAACACTTTCAGTGTGTGTGTGTGCATGTGTGTTTGTGTGCGTGTGTGTTCAGAAGGATTCTGGGAGTTGTAGTTCAGGTGTTTGTGAACGTCTCCCACCTCATGTCCGTGTTTCTGTAAACACACCTGTAGCCATGACAACGGTAACCAGGAGCCCCGCCTCCCTTAGCATTAACGCTAACAGCTAGCAGGTTTTCAGGTTGTCAGTTTGTCATCAGTTTAGTAAAGGTCAAAGGTCATTTTTTGTAAAACCTGTTTTTTTCCTGACGTGACTTGAACACCTGAGCTGAGGTTAGCCACGCCCCTTTTTAGCTGAACTGAAATAAAGATAAGCTAACGAACAAGCTAACTGCTAGCATTAGCACAAAACTGTAGCAAACAATGATGTCATGATTTAACAGGAAGTGATGTCACAGAGAAGTGAACGTCTGTTCCTTTTATGTCTGCCCTTTCAAAATAAAAGTCTTTTATAAAGCATAAAAACGTGTTTTTTAATTCAGAGTCACTTAAAGAACGAAGAGAGAGACGGACGTGTTTGAGTTTAACGAGGTTCACGTCAGGATCAATGACAGATGATTGAACATGAAGGAGATGATCAGATGTTTGATTGGTTTTTGATCGATGAGTCAGTGACACAAAGTGAGTGAAGAAGATCAGCTGACTGTGTGTCCGTCTGAAAACTCAAAGAGAGAGAGAGGAGGTCACACAAAACACACAACCACAGAAACACACCGAGCTCCACTCAGGTGACCCTCGGAGAGACGGACGGTGAGCTGGAGCCTGTTCTACGACGTGGGTTCACTTCTTAGCGAGGCGAGTCTCCATGGCAACAAATGCTGAACGGCTGACCTGCTCCAGGGCAGGTTAAGTTCCAGATTGAACTCATGAGTATAAAAGCCCCGCCCACTGACCAATGAGCTCTCTGGAAAAACGGCGTGTCCGTTCTTGGAGGATCCTGTAGACCTCGGTGCTCGCCTTGTCCGAGGAGGAGCACTCCGGCGAGCGAGAGTTTTCAGAGACCGCACAGACCCACTTCCTCCTCCGGATGACCTCCTTTATGAAAGGCTAATATGGCCGACACACAAAACATGTGACCACGATAGGAATGAACACATGAATGAATTCATCCTGGAAATGAATCAGACATGTCTGCTCGCCGTAGTTAAAGCGCGTGTTGAACAGCGCTGTTTCAGGGTGATGACCACATCAAAGATTTTTGGCGCTCTATACTTCCACATTGACTGTCGGCCATTTTCTGCCAGCGTTCCCTCCGGTCTTCTGCGGCGGTGACGGTGACGGTGACGGCGTTGTTTTTGAGGTTTATGACAGATTTGAATTCTTCAGACTTTCTCATGATCGTCTCCTGCTCCTCGTTTGTAAAGTCTGCGGTCCTTCACTCTCCGGCCTGCTCTGACGCTCCAGACCGGTCCATGTTCACGATTGGTCAGATGTGGCGGGCTCCGCCTTACATGCGTGCACGCGCTCATAGCAAAGCTGGATCCTCTTACGAGGTTGATAACCGGCGTCGTAAGACTGTTTAGTGAGACCGCTGGCTACCGCAAACATGCTTCGTAGAACAGGCGCCTGGTGACCACACACACACACACACACACACACACACACACACACACACACACTCTGGTGTCTGCTGCCGTCCTATTGGCTAACCCTGACCTCTGATATAATGATGTGATTATTGATCACACAGACAAGCTCTTTAGAGGCGGGACCAGAGCTGAGGGGGGGGGGTCTGTCTGTGGCTCGGGGACATACAGCCTCAGTCTGAGGGTCAGAGGTCACAGATGAACGGTCCAATCACAGGCTGGGAGGCAGGAAGAGGTCGGGTTAGAGTCTGAGTCAGCAGAAACTCAACAGAAGAAATAAAAAAAATCATGTTTAGAAAAATCAGAGAAACTGAGTTTAAGAGAAACAGACACACAAACACGTGACTGACACACAAACAGACACACACACAGACACACACAAACACGTGACTGACACACACACAGACACACACAGACACACAGACAGACACACACACACACAGACATTAACACTGAGAGATACACACAGACAAATACACAGTCTGTGTGTGAGAGAGAGAACATCATGTGTCTGTCAGTTTCCATTCACAGATTATAGTTACATAACACACAAACACACACACAAACACACACAAACACACACACAGACACACACTCACACTCACACAGACACACACACAGATTAAATCAGCTGTTCTCTGTAATCCTCTGCTGATGACCTCATCGTGGGTCAGCTGACTTTGTCTTCCTGTTTCTGTGATGACATCATCACAGGTGTGTTTACCTGATGCTGTGACCCTGAGGTCGTCAGTAGGAGGAGCTGACCTTTGACCTCAGGCTCACAGCATCAACCTCTGCCAGCTGTTCAGTGTGTGTGTGTGTGTGTGTGTGTGTGTGTGTGTGTGTGTGTGTGTTTGTGTGAGTGTGTGTGTTTGTGTATGTTTGTGTGTGTGTGTGTGTGTGTGTGTATCAACCTCAGTGAGTTTTAGCTCCGCCCCCCTCTGAGCTCTCCATGTTGCTGAAACTGAAACTCTTCTGATTGACACCTGTGGAGCTCTGTGATTGGACAGGTGAGTGTGTCTGTCACACAGACTGTTTTTACTCTCGACTCCTTGACTCCTTGACTCCTTGACTCCTTGACTCCTCGGTTCCTCCAGTTTAAAGATCTGAAGCTGAAAAGTTCTCAGTAATTCTGAGTTTTTTTCTCCACTTCCTCAAACCAACATTGTTCAGTAACGTTGTTCTTATTCAGCAGGAGAGTCTCTGAGATGACGCTCGGCTCAAACAGCGTATCCCCCGGTGATCTACTCAATCTCTGTCCTCCCATTGGCTGTATCAGGTGTCAATCATAGCAAACATGAACCCCCTAATAACTTTTAAAAATGGAGCTGTACAGAAAAAAGAGGACTTGAGCACAAACCAGTCTGACAGTAACTACATGTCAACATCACAACCAGGGGGGAGAAACATTTATATTCTGTCTCATTCATTTATAAAGTTTGTCCACAGCTCCATAAGGAGGCGGGGTTTAGGACCTAAACTCCGCCTCACCTGTCCAGGTTGATATGAACTCTGTAAGTATCAGGACAGGTGAGTGGGAGGAGCTGATGAAGCTTCTTCGTCTGATCACAGGAACCGACCAAAGAAATATAAATGATAGAAGAATGAAGGTCGACCTCCCTCTGAGAGATTATCGATTTGATCAGATTATTGATTTGATCAGATTATTGATTTGATCAGATTATTGATTTGATCAGATTATCGATTTGATCAGATTATCGATTTGATCAGATTATCAGACAAACATATTTGTAGAATTTTGTTATTCAGGGTCGATGTTTCACACGTGATGGAAAACTTCCTCCATGAAACCGAGGTCTGGAGTTCATCAGATCAGTCCGGTCAGACTTTATTTAGAACCAGAACCAGAACCCTGGTCCAGAGCTGCAGAGGTGGTTCTGGTTCTTTTCTTTAACTTCACAGGAACACAGAGAAACTGGAGCAGATGAACCGATCATGATGTTCAGGAGTCAGTGGAGAGCTCGCTGTCAGGATCAGAGTTTTTATGTTTTTGGTTTTTAAGTTAGAAAAACTTTCAAAATTAAACTTTGATCTGTTTATAGTGCAGTGATCAGACAGCAGGGGGCGCCACAGCCTTTATTATCACACCACTGC